GCCCCATGCCACGGCAGTGGAATGACCCCGCCCCCCGGGACAAGAGGAAGGCGGTGGAGCTCTAGCGTGAGCCTGCCCGCCCCTCCCCAAACAGCATCCAGCGCGAAGAGGAGCTCCGGCGGGAGCTCCGCGACCGCCGCCGTTCCCCCGCCCGTCGCGAGGACCGCGGCAGGTCCCGGTCGCCTCGGGCTTCGTCGGGTGATTGGCGCTCCCACCGGCGCTCTCCGTTGCCGCCCCCTCGTAGGGGCCGCTCTCCATCCCCCTCCCGCGCGGCTCGGCTCAGCCCCTCCCGCCCCAGGGACGGGATCCTCCCCACTCCGGAGCCGCGCCGCTATGTGCCGCCCCACGCTTCGGCCCCCGGGGGTGTGGCCCCGGCTCCTGCGCCTGGTGGAGGCCCCGCCCGCAGTCGGTCCGGACCTGCCAAGAAGAAGAAGCGACGCAGCGTTCGCGGCGCGCCGCCGTGCCCCCTCCCGCGGGCCCGGGATCCTCCACCAGTCCCGGCCCCGTCTCCGGTCTCCCTCGCCCCCCCTGCTTCAACTGTGGGGTGAGGGGGCACTCGCAAGTCAACTGCGTCAACCCCCAGTGCTGCTACCTCTGCAAGGATCCCGGCCACCCCGCCCTCCTCTGTCCGGATAGACCGGTGGTCTCGGAGCTCATTATGTATGGGCATGGGATCGAGGGGTTGGGTTTCTTCCACCTCGAGGTCCCTGACGCCCCTCCGCCGTCTCCTTCCCTTCAGGCGATTGTCACGATCGTCGATGGCGTGGCATCCCCGGAGATGATTGAGGCTGAGCTCAACCATCTCTACCGTCACCAGTGGGACTGGGTGGTCACCCCCTCCGCCGGTCACATCTTCTCTGTCGTCTTCCCCGACTCCGTCAGCTACGGCTACACGACGCGTAGTGGCCGGATCACTCTCGCCCTCAACCAGCTGGTTGTCGAGATCTCCGAGCCGGTCCTCGACGCTCAGGCCGTGGCCGTCCTCGACACCGCCTGGATCCTCATCTATGGCCTCCCCGATATTGCGCGGTCCGAGTTCGTCATCCGCCAGATGTCCCGTCTCTTGGGCAAGGTGGTGGTGGTTGATGAGCTCTCTATTCGCAAGGAGGAGGTGTTGGAAATATGCCCTAGAGGCAATAATAAAAGTATTATTATTATATTTCCTTATTCATGATAATTGTCTTTTATTCATGCTATAACTGTATTATCCGGAAATCGTAATACACGTGTGAATACATAGACCACAATATGTCCCTAGTGAGCCTCTAGTTGACTAGCTCGTTGTGATCAACAGATAGTCATGGTTTCCTGGCTATGGACATTGGATGTCGTTGATAACGGGATCACATCATTAGGAGAATGATGTGATGGACAAGACCCAATCCTAAGACTAGCACAAAAGATCGTGTAGTTCATTTGCTAGAGCTTTGCCAATGTCAAGTATCTCTTCCTTTGACCATGAGATCGCGTAACTCCTGGATACCGTAGGAGTGCTTTGGGTGTATCAAACGTCACAACGTAACTGGGTGACTATAAAGGTGCACTACAGGTATCTCCGAAAGTATCTATTGTTTTATGCGGATCGAGACTGGGATTTGTCACTCCGTGTAAACGGAGAGGTATCTCTGGGCCCACTCGGTAGGACATCATCATATGCGCAATGTGACCAAGGAGTTGATCACGGGATGATGTGTTACGGAACGAGTAAAGTGACTTGCCGGTAACGAGATTGAACAAGGTATCGGTATACCGACGATCGAATCTCGGGCAAGTAAAATACCGCTAGACAAAGGGAATTATATACGGGATCGATTGAGTCCTTGACATCGTGGTTCATCCGATGAGATCATCGTGGAACATGTGGGAGCCAACATGGGTATCCAGATCCCGCTGTTGGTTATTGACCGGAGAACGTCTCGGTCATGTCTGCATGTCTCCCGAACC